AAATAGAGGGAATTTACTCAGTCTGGTTGGGGAGTTTAGTCAAAGTAATCATGTAGCTGACACCAAGAGCATTAGGAAAGCCCAGAGGAGGAGCCAGCAGGGAGTTATCGAGAGACTTCCTGGAAGAAGGAAATGCTAGAGGCATCTGAAGGAGGAAGGAGGTTGGCATGGTGAAAAGGGTGGGGCTGAGCATTTTATTACAGCCGGCTAGAGTTTGGTGCCTGGCACAGCTGATCACTGAGGCCCAACTGAGTGGCAGACCAGGTTAGGGTCAGATCAGAAAGAGCCTGGCATGGCACAACCAGGAGTTCGGACTTGGTCTGGTAAGGACAAGGAGAGGAAGCTATTGAGATGCCTTAAGGCAGGAATAACTCTGGAAGATGGTGGAGAGAAAGGTCAAGATTGGAGGGCACTGATGGGTCAGAAAGCTATTGAAGCTGTGGATCAGAGATTAGGAGATTGCTAATTTGCCAGTAATTAATGTTATTGTAATGGAATCACTGGAATTCAAAAGAATAGAAGTACTTCTAAAAGATGTTTACTTCTTAAAGATAAGCAGATAGCAGGGGATGGGGTGAACAGAACTGTCTTCTCCAGCACAATATACCCAAGCAATCCCGGGCAAATTTCAAGATGAGGGGGATTTAAAAATTTTTAATTTAATCTACATTTGCCTAGATCCCCCTACCCAAAAAAGAGGGGAGGAAAGGGAAAGGGATAAAAAACAAAAAAGGCAATTTCTTCTGAGGTTATGTGCAGTCTCGAAACACCCCAAAGAGAGTAGGAAAAGGCTCCCACGAGCTGTCTTTGCATGGCTGCCACACAGGCATCTGAAGCTGTGGGCAGTGGGCAAATACACAAGCCACGACCTAAAGAGCGGCTCCGGGCCTGCCCCTCAGTCACGCGGGGATGTGAACTGGGTCACACCAGCAAGGGGGAAGCTGGGACCACAGGGCTGTAATAGCCAAACCCAAAACAGACCGAGCCCCGCTGCTGAGTCACTCTGACTCACAGGGACTCTGTAGGCAGAACGGACTGCTCCACTGGGTGTCCAAGACTGTCCGTCTTTGCAGGACCAAGACTACCGCATCTTACCATCCCGCTCGGAATTGCTGGTGGGTCCAAACTAACAACCTGTCAGTTTTCAGCCAAGTGCTTTAATCACTGTGCCACCGGGTTCTTAAAAGAGTGAAAGTTGGCTTCATTTAGGGAAGGAAAAAAAAGGGAACAGCCGCTATTACTAACATCAGGAATTAAGGGTGTCAATAGTTTTAAAAGTGGGCGAGGATTACAAGAGAGTTGACATAAGCCTCCTTACAAAATGTTTTGAGAATGATGAGGGCAACAAA